GATTGTCTGGATTCTGGTTTCCTAAAGACAGGCATACAGTGAAGAAGGTTATTTCTGGATGCTACTTATGTAAGAAATTTAATGCCTTTTCCTTTAGATATCCTAAAGTTGCTAATTTCCTAAACATCAAGTGAACCTGGTCAAGCCCTTCCTTCTTATGGGTATTGATTGTACTGGACATGTTTGGGTAAAGGAGAATAGAGGTGTAAGTAAAATGTATTTGCTTCTTTTTATTTTTATTTTTTTATTTTTTTAAGCATTTCACCCCAAGCAAGGCGGGAAGCCACTAGGACGCAAGGGGTTACAGAAAATAGGAAGATCAGATAGGAGTGATAGAAGAAAGGATGAGGGTAGTAGATAGATTAAGGCAACTGGAGATGTCGATTGACATTACACTTGAATAGCTGGAGATTATAACTCTCAGGGAAACAGGAGAAGGGAAGAGAGTTCCACAGGCAAGAGGTGCGAGACATGAAGCTATTAGAGTAGAAGAGACGGCTACATTTAGGAGTTTCGACAGTGAAGGGGTGAGGCGGGATGCCAGCCTCGTGGGGCTTTGAACTCATGAAGTCTGGGAACCAGCGAATGCAGCTCCTCGGAGCAATTTCCATGAAAGTATTTGTAGAACAGACAGAGGGAGGCGACGGTGCGTCTGTGAGAAAGTGACTGTAGACGAGACGCCAGGGCAGGGCCAACCATATTGCATATCCGCTTCTGGAGCCTATCAAGAACCCCGAGGCAAACAGAAGGGGCGCCAGACCATATATGGCAGCAATACTCCATGCAAGGGCGAATTGTGGATATGTTTGAATATACAAGCTGTACACATTGATCTTGTCAAAGACATGGGCACTCATGCTTTCATTCTTGCCTTTATCCAGTTTACCAACATTAATGGTATACCTTCTTGTATTTAGTTATAATGCCAAATCCTTTACTGTTGGATGTAACCTTCTAGAAAAAGGTTTTACTTTTGATGATTTTGCTGCAAAGTTTAATGCCTATAACATCAAACTCCTTACTATACCATTGTATTCTGCATGGGTGGGCAGTATGTGGGAGTACCTGATAAGAATAATAAAGTCATATCTGTATAAATCTATTGGATGTTCAAAAATTATTTTTATTTACTCACTATTCTGTCAGATATTCAGAATGCAGTAAATACTAGACTACTTACCTATAGATGCTTGTCTGACTCCAATTTGGAGATTATTAAACCCAACAGTTTTTTTCATTCTAATGTTAATGCTGGCTTTTTATTCAAAATGAATGATCATCCTTCCAGAAAAGATATCATTAAGAGTATGGAAATTTGTGATTCCATGTTACTCAACTTTTATGAACTTTGGTATGAGGGGTATTCACCGAATTTAAGAGAACAATGTAGGGACTTTTATGAAAATAATTTTTATAATGTTATTACAGTTGATTATATATGTTATATAGGAATAATGTGTTGTTGCCGACACTTGATTTTGAACATAGATTGCCAGTGAGCAAACACAGGTGATCCCATTATTGAATTAAGTAGACCACGTGACCATAGAGGAAATGCATAAGTAGGAGGTAGTGTGACATCTGAATGATCTCCTTTTCTAGTCTATCCTCTATTACTAGACGGACCGCTATTCTCTACTCTATTCACTATACTATTTCTCTATTCAGATCATTATATGGTGGTTACTTTTCAAGTGAGCATTATCAAGCAAGTACTATCAGTGTGAATGCTATTCAAAGGCGTCTAACACCAGCATTGTTCAATGGTGTACTATAGTTGTATCTACGATTACAAAGTCTCTGCTACAACAAACATTACAAAAGTGACAATGAGTATTTGCTGGCCTCACAAAAGTAGCAATGAGTGTTCATTGACATTACAAAAATGTATTCCTCATTAAAAATCCAAGTAAACCTTATTGGCTAGTGGGAAGGGTTCTTGAACTTATTCCTGGTGAAGATCATAAAATCCGTTCAGTGAAAATAAAAAAAGGAGATGAATCAATTCAGTTGCACTCTCTCAAACCTTTATACCCTTTAGAAGTATCTTTAATGTATGCTCAACCCCCTCCTAGTTGAGGCAGAAAAGCAAGAGGATTTGGGCAAGGAGAATATTCCTAAAATTAATTCATCAACTAACAATGAATGTGTGCAAGAAAGGCGTAAATTCCGTATCTAATACCTTTAAACCTGGAGGGCCTAAAAGAAAGGCTACAATGAAAGTTAGGAAACACCGTCTTGATGATACTTATATTTAGGATTGAAACTGAAAAAATACCCTTTCCTGTGTAAAATTTTCTTAAATAAATGTCTTTGTATTGTTCCTATAAAAAATAAATAAATAAAAAAGAAAAAATTGCAATAAACTAAATTTGTTTATTGCGCATTCTCTTGAGCAGAGAATATAAAAATTTTATTTTTATTATTTGCAAAAAATGTTAAAAGATCGATGTATAATGGCTTAGATTGTTTTTTTTGTTTTTTTATATACACACGTTTTTAAGAAATGTTTATCCTTCTGAAGGCCAGATGGCTTGTATGTTAAATTTTGTGCATTTTTTATGGCGTTTTAGGCTCAAGTGGTGAACCACGAAAATCGTTTGAAGTGTTTTGGATTTATTTTTTTGAATGCATGGAAAGGGTTTTTTTTTTTTGTGTATTGGCCAATAAGAAACAAGTTCGCATTACAGATACACAATTCCTAATAGCTAGATTTTAATGTCTTCTTCCTTTTCAGCTGTTTTTGTTGGCATACAAGTATATTTTATTTCTTGTTAATCATTTATTAGCCATTTATAAAACACATGAAAATATCACCTTGCTGAAATTTATTCCATTTTCTTTCACCTCTACTAAAAATGGTGACCTGTTGTTTACATCTATAAATTTTGTTTGCTACTGCTTTTAGTCCAATAACGAGCAGTGTACACAACAAAGGGTATTTGTGTAAAAGTGACTAGCCCAGAATTTGAACTTGGCACACTGATTCCACTATCTGCATGAATAATCATTAGGCTACTTGCATATTTATGTGCTACAGTCTTTATAAATAAGTGATTTATACAAATCCAAATACTAGATAAATTGGCCAACAGACTAGTTTTATGTGTGTATGTTAGTGATCTTATGTGCTTGTAAAATTTACAATGAGCAAGCAGTAGGTTGGAGAGGTAACTGATCTTCATTTCTGATGTAATGAATATGGATACACCTGTGTTCCCCCTCACAGGAATATGATTGGCTGGTGTCAGCCATAAATTCAGGCTGATATAGAGGTACAGGACGCCCATTGGACTACGCCATTGGCTATCCTATTGGTCTATGTCTATTGCCTACACCTATTGACTGTGACTACGACGAGTACCAGTTCCATTATTGCTACCTGCTAGATTGTTCTACTCCGTTACAGTAGCCTAAACCACTTAGCTACTTTGATCAAATATATCCCTTCTGGGACATATCAATTTCAAATTCAAGACTTTTTTTTGTTGCTTTAACTTCAATAAAATGTTTAGAATTAAATCTTATGATACAAAGTAAGGCTCAAACAATGAGCTAAAACTGAGTGCTTAGAAAAAAAAAAAAAGGGTGTTGTTTCACTTAATCAAAATGAAAATATTTATAAGAACATTATACTCTACTTCAAATTAGATCTCTTTCAGATTCAACATACATCAAAACCTGTCAGATGAATATAAATGTGAGTGTCATAATAGCAAGATCAAAATAAAAAGTAGCTCTCTGTACATAGGATTCTGGTATTGCATCTCGCTCACCCCCCCCCATTTAAACATAGGTTAAAGAAGCAATCACGAACGTTGCTGCTAAAACTAAAGGATGAAAAAACGTCATGTATCCATAATGAGTGTTTAAAACGACTCACTTGGTGATCCTCAAGCAGTTCATGGAAGTTTCAGCAGTCTCTTGGAGAACCGGCCTGAAATGAGATTACGGCAACAATCCCCACCTCTTTAGCACCTGCTTCAATGAGAGGACAGTACACAACTGCACGCCCATCTTTAGATCTTGACTTCTTCACCCACAAGTGTCACCTCCCACAATGACAACAGACAATGTATAATGTCTGTTATAATACAGTTAATTTTAATTTAACATGTCTTTTTTTCCTTTCATTTTATCGGCAATACATTGTTTTTCTTGCAACCGTACACAGCATATAACTGAAAGATGGGCTGGAAATTGCAAAGACGATATCGAATTACACCGAATAGCCTCTATCTTTTACAGAAAAGGAGAAACTAAAATTGTTTCAGAGTTCTTTTCTGCTGTTTCAGTTATTTTAACTTCAAAGTAGAAGTCTTTGCTGCAAATGTGAATTGATAAAAGATTATCTTAAAAAAACTGAATAAAAACAAAAATCCTGATCACAAATTTTAATCTTGATACCAGAAAAACAATTTTTTTTTAAAGCTGTAACTCAAGTATTATCTTTAAAACAAAAGTAAAGAGGAATGTCTTCATTTTAAAGTGCTATCTACCAGGAGAGTTATCTAAATAAAAAATATTTCATAACTCTCAAACATTGGAAGTTGAAAATATTGATTTGGGAGTTACTATCAGATAAAAAGTAAATATATGATCTCAGTTAAAATTTTTGAATTTATAAGAGATTAAGAATTGGAAGGGAAAAAATGAAATAATACAAATCAAAATTTCAGGCATCAAGTTCAAAGCTGGAGTTTTTAAATATAAAGTAAAATTAGAAAAATACCTGTACATGTAATTTCAAACTGCGAGGTTCATATAGAATCTAAAGAGTTCATAGGGTCTCTTTTATAAAACATGGAATTAAATTATTCAAAAATGCAAGAAACTACTTATTATGATCCTTTTGAAACTGGATCTTTACAAGAGTAATAACTTTATGAGAGTAATAACTTGCATCTGTAAGTAAAGAATAGAAAATTTGGAATGATTTACATTTATTATTTTAAACAAATTTTTACATTATAATAAATTAATACAAAAGTTACTGACTTACAGCCACATCATGTTGAAATGCCGGTTCCTGTATGATCACCAGAGTTAAGAAATATCGAGCTTGGTCAGTATCTAGATGGGTGACCGTTTAGGAACACCAGGTGCTGTAAGCTTGGATATGTGGGTGGTGTAATGGATAATGGCTCAGAATTGTTAATGGGAGAGCTGAGTTCCAATTTTAGTTATGCTTGTTATATTCCCTTACATGCAAATACCCTTGGAAAAGGTATGAAGCCACTTCTTCTCCCCCACATATGGGTTAATTAGTAGGACTTGTATCACAAAAATCATTAATATTTCCCCCAAAAATATAAAATTGCATACAAAATATTTAGATTTCGGCATTAAATAACCCCTAGATATGCCACTAAACAAAACCAACCAGCAAATAAAATTTACTGAAATGGAATTATTATTAATTAGAACTTGTTTTCTGAAGTGTTTGGAACCAAGAGAGTTTGATTATTATAAACATTTTCTTTTTGAAATTTTGTATTAGTTTGAGTCCTAAATAATTTTTTTTTGGTTTATCAGAGTCCTTGGTTGCTATTAAAGTCTGAGTCGAGATGACACCCAGGACAGGCGATCACATCAAAAATTTTTGTTCCACTAGTATTACGGCAAGCTCATCAACAGATCTTATGTTGAGTGAGAATAGCCATGCATGCAGCTAGCCACTTACCTGGAGGGAGGGGGGGAGGTATTGATATGGATGATGCTTCCGCACCTGCACGATAAACAGAAACAACTGATAAAGAAGGGGAGGAGGTAATTGATTCCTAAAAATGGAAATTACTTACGATTCAACTTAATATTTCATTTTTCAGATGAGTAGTTGTCCATACATATTAATTTATTTAAACTATTGTTTTCATCTTGATTATTATGGAGGTTATTATAGACACAACACTTCGGCCAATTACTCTCTGGCCATCATCAGTTAAGATAAGAACAATTGCTTGGATAAATTAAAGTAACTTGACATTTACTCATGTCAAAAATGAAATACAAAATTATCAAAAAGAGAGACAAATTTGCCATGATAACCAAAAATATTGAAACCTTCCAACTTCAGTAACAAATATAGGCATGCATGTGTTACTGTCATCTAGTGGTCATAAGTTCAATCCTTGGATCTGGCAGTAAAACACTGGTTAATCATGAATGAATAAGAACTGGCCTCACATAACCCTTATTACCTAAAACAATGAACACCTGAAGATGGCCAGAGGGTATTTGGTTGAAATGCTGCATCTGTAATAATACTCTTAATGATCAAGATGTGAACAATGGCTTAAATAAAGTAAAGTATAGTTTCTTTTGGATTTGATGAAAAATCATGAACATCAGATTGAAGTTCTCTTCCTGGTTTTTCTGAGTCAACACATACCATCAGTAACCAATATGCTGGTATTATGAACAAGAGGCTGATAACTAATCTTGACATGTGTAGTTATGAAGGCAGGACGACAACTCCTGGTAGGTGAGGTAAGAATGTATCCTTGTAAAAAAATCTGTCTTAGAGAATGGTAAATTGAAAAATTTCTCTTATGAAAAAAAAAAAAAATTAAATAGAAATATGCATAGTGAAATTCTGATTCTGAATTATCAGGAATTATTCTGAATTGAATTTTAGGGAATAGAAATAGCAGGATTTTTATTTTTATCTTTTAATAAAAAATAGATGTCTGGTTAGTGAGAATTGTTGACTGTAAATAAGCAGAATCTATAATCAGTCCAAAGGTTTTTACAATGTCTCACTGGATTTTTTAACTTGAGAGACTGATCTGTCTTGTGGTTTAGTAGCCACAGGAAACTAAAGGTCAGTTTTTGTGCCCAGACAAATGAATGCTGATTTTCAAAGTATCTCTCTCTCTCTCTTTATATATATATATATATATATATAGGTACTTGCAAAGATTCATTAAAAAAAAGCCCACACAAAAAGAGGCATAAAACTTAATAAAAACAAAGTTTTATCATCAAATTCTTTGTGTTATTATTAAGAGGAAAGACCAAAGGATTTTTTAATATATAAATGGATATTTTAATCCCTTTTATAATCTTCAAAATTTTGGTTAAAAATCTTGTTTTCTGGTGTCCACAGGGGACCATAAATTTGTATGTGAAATTTGGGTGTCTTTTTGCAGCAAGAAACATACTGATTTAGAAATTCTTGTAAAAATCAAAAATTTTGTTAGATTTTCATAAAACATTCAGGACTTATTCATGAATTAAATTATTTTTAAATGTTTCTTTTTTATAAAATCTTGGTAAAAATATATTTTTTTACATCTATTACACCCCCACCACCTCTTATTTAATTTTATGAACTTTATATAATGTCTACATTAGTTATAAGGACAAGTCCTTGGAGAATTTAAATCATCAAATCTTTTGGGTCAAAGTGGATACCCAGTTAGAGAAAATCTGCGCTGAATTGTAAAATAAAAAATACAATAAAACTAAGACATTATTTAATTAGAAAAGCCTTGAAGTATAAAATATATTACGTATACTATTGTGTTATGAAAAAAATAATTTTCAATGAATAATAAATTTTTACAAGAATTTTCATTTTTTAAAAATTTTAAATAGAATAATTTATAGATTTTTAATTTTTTTTTAATATTTTGCATTAATTAGTAGTAGTCACGTGATATTGTTATTAATAAAAGCTGTATTTACTAATCATAAATTGAAAAGCTTTCTACAATTCATCAATCCCTAGTATTTAAAAAAAAATTTTTAATTTTTGTGTATAAACAAGCTGATTTTTGTAAATTTGGACCGCAACATATGACATTTTCAGAAAAGAAGAGAGGTAACTATAGTAAATTTAAAATTTATTACTAACTTTCTATTTCCTCAACAAACATATTTGTAAGTAAGACTATAACAACAAAGTACCTAAAATTCAATAAAATATTAAACGGCTTAAAATATATTCAGTTTTAAAGATTAATGGGTAATTAGTTAAAAACATTATATAAAAGGTGTTTAAGCTGTATTTATCATGTAATTTTATATCTATTACCACCTCCTTAGATAAATTTCTCAACATCAAAAAACGTCCACCTCCATGTTAAAAATGCTTTTCTGTGATATTTTAAACTAAAAGTAATATTCGTTTCAATTCAGATTAATTAAACTTTAAATCAGCTAATTTTTCTCAAATAATGTTTCAGAAAAGTACATTTTATTTTTGAAATATTTTTAACAAAGAGAATTATGCTGTGTTGACAAATTTGTCATTATGGTTGATTTTATCGATTTTATTGAGAATCAGAAAAAATGATTCCAATCAGTTTCAATTCAGTTTGAAATACAACAAATTATTTTGCTTATGGGAAATTTTAAATTTAATCTATTAGCTTAGAATTAAAACTAAAATAAAAATTTCAAGAAAGATTAAATATATATAACCTTTTCAAGATTGTTATTTTACTCAGTATGGATTAGTTTGGTACAAGGCCACAATTATGGAACACCCAGTGAGGTTTAAATTCAATACTCAGAAGGAATCATTTGTGAGACTGGTTTGCTAACCACTGTCCCACACTAAGGCATGCTATGTTATTTACTAAGTCTAGCAAAATTTGGCACAAGTCAACATGAAAAGGTTATATATATTCCTGACTTTCATCTGTCATAGCTGACAATGGATATAACAATCACTTTGTAGCTACAGATATTGGGTAGCTGAAATGATTCTTTATGTACTCATTATTCTTGCTTTTTTAACAAAGCCGTAACAAGACCATGCTTAAGTGATGGGGGAACAAAAGACAGTGAAAATCAGCTTTAATGAAAAAGTGATATAAGCATGAAATTATCGCATTTGTCGGATAAAAAACTTATGCTAACAACTGTGAGAAGAGGCTTTCTTTACTCACAAATTCTCTTAGAGTTAAAATGTCTCATTCCCCTCTGGGGGATCTTTTAGCCATCAGTAAACTTCATGTTGAATTGAACACAATACACACTAATACACAGCAAACAACTGCCCAAAACTACTTGACTATAATGAAGCCAATCTAATAATTCCACTAAACCAACAAATAAAGAACTCTTCTCATATGTAAGCTTTTAACACTTCTTCATAGAAACTTCACACACACATACGATTGTTATATGGTATATAGAGATGAAGTAAAGGCCAAATTTACTGTCTATAGTACCATTTATTGTTGACTCCATTTGGTTACAGTGTTTAAAATAGTTGACTATTGTCATAGTTCTTTTTTCTGTGATTTGAGAATTCATACAGGATTGTTGTGTTCCTTCTGGTTGACAGAAATTAATTCATTGCATTCATCCTTTCATCTTCTTTCTCTTCTGGAGTTGTACATCAGGTCAATCTCACAGCCGATGAATCACCAACCCTTGCGTTTTGAACTGCTATTTCGAATCAAGTTCCACTCCACTGCCGCATCTCTAGTCTCGTACATGGTTTTCTTCTTTTTATTGGGGCTGACACATCTGTGTTTCCTGTTTGATTTTTGGTGGGGCGTGTTGTCATTGGTTGATTTTTTTTATGACATTCACTGACCCACATAAACTAAGTCTGGGTTCATGTCCGTTACTGAGGATAGGAACAATAGAAGGAAGGAAAGGAAAGGTAATATATAGAAGAGAGGGAGAGAGAGTTTTTTTTTCACTCACTTAGTAAAGAGGAAAGTGTATATTTTCGTATGGTGTTATTACTACCTAATCCTACTACAATTACATACACACCTTCATTCATACCTTTTTGTATGCTTTTTATTTAGATTTTTTTTTTGCAGACAGTAGTGACTGAATTCTTATAAGAAATAAACACAATCAACTGGTTACTATATTGTTTGTTTATAAGCTTTCATTTATATCAAAGTATTTGCACTTTGGTGTGTTTTGAATTTTACAAAAATAGTTATTTGGCTACAGTTAAAATCTAAATGATACAAATGTATATAATTATTTTTTCAAGCTGAGTTCTTGTTATCAAATAACCTTCTACCATATTCTACAGTCTAATATTTTTAAGTGGTGAAAATAAACAAATATTTCTCTATTCATGATCACCGACTCACAGGACATTAATATATAGAAGAGAGGGAGAATTGTTTTTC